CCTTTCTGGAAGTTGATACAAATCATACATACAAATTTTGTTTTTCACGTGGGATGGCTTTATTGCGATTTATTGTACGTTGAAACCAAGGTTTCGTATTTACCACTGACCAAACGGCCTTATATGGTATTTGTGTATATTGGATTCCCTCAACATCTTTTACTAAATACCGGTAATTTGGTAAGATTTTCAAGATGTCAAAAAAAGTCCTTTAAACTTTGGAATTACCTAATCTATATTTTATTGGATATTTTCTTTTAGCTTTGTAATGTTTTTCGTTACATTCTTGTTCCTTCTTTTGGGTCCTTTAGCTTTTTTCTAACTTCTTTTATATCTCAATATCTTGTCTGTATTTCCTCTATTATATTTTCCTTTAAACTGACCACAGCTTCTTCTTTCTAGTTTTTACCAAACATCATCACGCTAGGTTGTTCGTCTATCATTGCACCATCACTTTTCACTTTGCACTTTACAAAACTTATGAGAGTTTTTTTTACAAAGTAAACGTAAAAGCGTTGCACCAAAGACAAAACATAATGTAGATTTGTTTGCAGATTTTATTGCAGATGTTTTGCATAAAATGCAAGGAAAAGCGTTGCACCAAAAAATTAGATCAGTTTCATATGTTATTGGTTTTTGCAAAGCATTTCGTTTGTATTTGTATATTTTTTTTTGTTTGTTTGATATTTTGTTGCTATGCCTACATGATTTATACATAGTACGGATGTATGAGTTGAAAAAACGCACAGAAGCATCATCGAAACTGTATGAGGAAGCAAAGAAGGCATAATTAAATTTAAAAATAATATATAAAAAATTAAATGTATTCATTTAAAAAAAAACACTTTATTTAATGAAAGTGAATATTTACTTAATATTTTACTTAATTTCATATTTTGTAATATTTTATATTTTAGTATTGGTATAATATAAATATATATTGTACATATATATGTATAAATATTAATATAAAGAGAAGTATAAAGCGTAATATATAAGTATAAAATCGAACTTATTTTAATTTTAAATTTATAAATAGCTTATAGTTTAATAATTTATAATAGTATAGTTAATTTAAAATATTGCATTTAAATTAGACAAATAAATATGTAATTAATGTATATAAATTAATAATTTTAAATTTATAAAAATTCCGGTGAGATATCCCTTTAATTATTGTCAAATGATAAACAGCAACTAAATTTATTTTAAAAACAGCAATAATATTTGTTGTAAATTAATTTTCCATTCATATTTATTTTCTTTTTAACAATATCAATCTGTAAAAACTATTTTTATTTATTTATTAATGATTTCTTTTATTTTACGCATTTTGTCTTTTATTAATATACATAAGAAATTTTGGTTTTGTATAAAGCAATCATTTACAAAATTTGCAGGGTAAATTAATCATTTGCAATTTTTTTGTAAAGTTTTGCGGCAAAAAAAAGCGGTTTTTTGTCAAATATTTCATTTACTTTTGATCGAAAATTACTTTAGTGCAACGCTCTGCATTTTCTGAGTGTTTTTTAAACTTAACATAATTTAATTTGATATTTAACATGGTAAATGCCACAGTAAATGATCCTTGACACTGTTCTCTTCAAGTTGATACAATTATCCGTGCGTTTATATATATGATATATAAGGTTATGCGTCGGGCTTGGAACCCACCATTTAAAAACTTCTTTCAATGCAAACGAAGAAGCATCCTCAGAAGAAGAAGCTGGTTAATGTTTTCAAAAAATATATGGCTGACATTATCGCCACTAAATGAGAACATTGTGATATCTACTACAGCTGTCATGCAACTAAGCATGAATTCGGAGTCGGATTTGCGGTAAGCCGAAAGTTGAGAAATTTGATCTCAACATTTACACAAATAAGCGAAAGGCTCGCAAAAATCCGTATTAAGGCAAAATTTTTCTACATTGCTCTAATATGTGAACATGCTACGATGAAAGATAAAGATGACGACACCAAGAAAACTTTCTATAAACAGTTTGAATAAGTATATTACCGCTGTCTCCATCATATCAAAATCGTTGTAGAAGACTTTAACGCAAAGATGGGTGAAGAAGGTATATTTGGCGTTATTGTCAGAAAGTTCAGCCTTCATACAAAAACTTTTGATAATCGTAGAAGGTGCTTCATTTTGCAGCGGCTAGAAACATGGTGGTTAGTAGTACCAGATTCAAACAATACACAAGAACGTAATTTGATCACGTTGTGATAGACGGAAGGCATGCTTCCAGTGTCTTGGATGTACGTACTATCTGAGGAGTCAACATCGACTCGAATCATTATCTTGTGGCGGCCAAGATCCGCACACGTAAATGTAATATAAAAAGGCATGCGAACAAGCACAGCGAAAGCTAGACTTGAAAAGCTGCAAAAAAAAAATGATCCTGCAAACTGCACCAACCATCGCGGGATCAGTCTTTTAAGTGTCGCATTTATGGTACTCAAACGTACTATGCAAAAGTTTGAAACCAATCGTCAACCAACTAATCGAATCTTATCAGTGTGGCTTCAGACCTTGTAAAATTATCCTTGACCAGATACTTACAGTGCGTCAAATCCTGGAGAACACCAAAGAAAAACAAATCAACACACACCACCTTTTTGTTGATTTCTGAGCTGCTTTTTACACTACGACTAGCGGCACTCTCTATTTGGTGTCTCCACAACAGTCCACCCAACAAATGAAAACGCACTTTTAATTTTAAAAACAATGTCTTTGTTATTGCTGCTACTGCCGTTAGTTGAAGGATTGTAACAGACGTTACCACTTTCCATCTATGATCTTTTTTTTACAGTTAAATAAAACCAAAGCTTAAGTTTTTATTTAATAATCTGTTTCATTTAATTTTTATTAATACATTTAATAATGATAATAGTTTGTCGGTTTCTCACTAGTCTTTAATTTTACTTAGGTTTGATCACTAATTATTTGTATGACAATAGTTTTACAACTCAATTTTATTTAACTTCAATATAATTTAACATTATTACCGAGTTTATCAATGATTACTTTTAATATTGATGCCAGTTGTGTTTTAATTAGATTTACTATTCTTTAATTTTAAATTTTTCCTTTTTTTACATATATTAAATAACTCTTTTCTGATGTTTATAAGTTTAATTAACTACTATTCACTGCATTAACTCCTATTGTTCAAAATTTGAACTCATATTATATACCAGTACCTAAACTTGATGCAATACCTAATGTTCGACCTTAGAATTTCCTCAATTACCTCATTCGCAAAGTTCTCATTTATTAAGGAATGCTCTACATATTTTTGCAATTCTTCCGTATTCAATATTTTCAGTCATTTTCATCAAGAACACTAAATACAAGTTGACTTCTACACAGAGCTTTTGAAAAATTGTCTCCAAAAACATTAGACCGATCAAGAGGAACGCTTTGGGTTGTTTTCTAATTTTACTTTTGCTTGTAAATTTGACATAAAATGTGTGCATTTTTAGCTAAAGATAAAGAGTGCAATATTTGTTTACGTTTGTTTTTGTGTTTTGCTATATTTTCTTTTGGAGACATTCAGTTAAACATTTACATCGTTTTAAAATATACCTAAATCTTGCATCAATATAAAAACCGTTCCTTCGTTTGAATTAATTAAATTACTGATTAAAATATATATATGTTTTAATATTGTAATTGCTTTTTGTGATAAGGTACCATATAACATAATTTAGGGTGTTCACGGGGCACCGGTTATCGGGTTATGTGTGTATGTGCTTATATGAGCAACAACAAAATGCACTGAATAAAAATAACCAACTTTGCACAACCCCTGCCTATGTATACAAATTATGTGGTTATGTGATTATTTGCAGTGTTGAAAAATAATATAAAATTTAAGCAAATGGCATTACAAAAAAGATTAATTTCACCAAATGGCACCACGAATTTTGAATTTCAAATTGGCATCACTAACATTTGAAGCTAGTTTCGTTTGTAAACAAACATTTAAAACGTAAACAAACATTTTGCAAAAGTAAGTTGAAATGATCTATACTAAATAAAAATATACAAATGTCTTATTTATTTCCCATTTTCAGTGTCTAACGAAATGCGGAAACGTAAACGTGAAAATGAAGTAAAGAAATGGACGGAGCAAGAAATAAAAACAGTACTAAGCTATATGCAAGAGCACAGGAACATAGAGGTAATTTGTATTTTGATTTGTATTTTTGTTACTTTGGGTTATAACTTTTGTTTTTATAAATATATTTAATGATAGAAACCAACAGCCCAGCTATATTATAAAAAATTGTTGGCAGAAACAAACATCAATGCAAATTGGAACATATTAAAATGTAAAATTCGCCATCTGAAGAGTACTTTGCAAAAAGCAGACGCATGGATTAATTCAACAGGCGCTGGAGTTGAAGATGATGACAATACAATTACTGTAAAAGGTAAACTTTATAATCATTTTAGTGCAGACTTTTTACTACAATAGTTTTAAATTTTTTGTTTATGTGCAGACAAGGTGGTTAAAATATGTCCACATTACGAACAGCTTGTCGACATTTTTTCACCTTCAAAGGAAATTGAATTTGTTGTAATGGACACATCGAACGCATTGGACTGTACTCTTGATGCAATTGATTTGGAAGAAGATAGTGTTATATTGGATGGTGAACTATCAGCATCATCAGAAACTATCTCCTTTGAAAACAAGGTTAAGCGTACAGCACGTCCTACTTGCATTGATAAGCTTAAAGATATGGAGAGTGACCGGGTCAAATTTCGGAAAGAGCAATTAAGCTTAGAAATTGAAAAATTCGAGTGGACAAAAGAAATGGAAAAACAAAAATTAGAATTGGAAAGGCAGAAAGTTGAGAATGAGTTCAAACTCAAGAAATTAGAGTTAGAACAAAAAGAAAGAATTAAAAAATATAAAGTTGATGTGAAATATAAAAATAAATAATAAAACAGACTTATTAAAAAAATTTAAAAATGTGTACTTTTATTCAAACATCATATTATACAGTGTTTGTCTTTTTAGCTCAGGTGTAGGTGCAGCAATAGTATTGCTATCATACTGCGCTTCACACCATTCGCTATTCTCACTTTCAAATTGTGAAAAATTGCGGTCTTCCAACAAAATATTATGCAACACACAACAAACGAGAATCCAAGAATTGAAAAATTTTTGGCTTTTTTTGTCTTTTATTTTAATTCTCATTTGTTTTAAACTGCAAAACTTTTCTTTAAGGATTCCGAAACAATTTTCAACTCTAACGCGGTATTGGCTGTGTCTTTTATTGAATTTGTTTTGTTGTTCAATATTCATTAAAGAAGAATTGGTGCGATATGGCGTTATCAAATGTTTAGTCAACTGGTACGCAGAGTCGCCTGCAATCCATTCTTCTCCAGTAAATAAGCACGCGCTGTTTGTTGCAATATGCGATTTCTTAAATATTTTAGAATCATGGTAGCTTCCCGGATTACCCACTAATGCGTGCATGATGCGGAGCTTATGATCACATACAACTTGCAATTTAATAGAATATATTCGTTGACGAGAAAAATATGCCTCATGGTTATTGCTAGGTTTTTCGGCCAGCTTTATCTCACTTCCATCAATATAACCAATACAGAATGGTAACTCACTGAACGTATGAGCAATAAGTTGCCTACGCTCAGTCGCACTAGGCCATTGAATGTATACCGGTAATTTCTTCAAAATTGCTGAAAATACTCTCTGGGTAATTTTGGTCAGAGTGCCACCATCTCCCACTCCAAAAATTGTCGCGATTTTTCGCACTGATGCACTTTCTCCTGAAGAGCCTAAACGGAATAGTACTATCGCGAGTTGTAAATCCACGGGCAGTTGCAAATTGGATCCTGAACCTTTGAATATTATATCATTTGCAAATATTTCAACAAGACGAGCAAATTGACTCTTGTTGACACGTAACATTTGCAAAAATCGTCCTTCGTCGAAACAACATAAAATATTATCTCGCCAATGAATGGATTTTGGCACACTTAGTTCATCCCCTCGTCGATAAGAAGTGATTGTTCTTACATCCTCCATTAGTTCATCCATTCTTTCATCAATGAGAGCGTGCCATTGATCGAAGTGTGCTGTGTCTATAAATGGAAAAACTTTGATTTTTGCAACTATTAAGCTTTAAAACACATACCTTCGATAAATTCAAGATCTTTAATAGCTGCATTTATTTTTAAGTCTATAATTTGATTTTTTATACTCTTTTTAGGCATTTTGTGTTGATTTTGAAATTTAAATTTCTTTGTACTTACGACAAAAACAAAGAACAGCTGATTGTATAAAAATAACCAGATAACCTACATAAAAGTCTGTTCACGGTGCACACAGGTTATTTTTCATTTTATCATCACATAACCCGATAACCAGTGCCCCGTGAACACCCTAATTGTTTAAACATGAAATTTGCAAATGTATATAAGAGCAGGTAGGAACTCTTTTAATATCAAGCAACGCTCCTATCATATCTTACATTGATAGCAGTGAACGAATTTAAAAGTATTCAGCAAAGAAGATTTTATATTGAACGGAAACTTACCCAGCGGCACCATTAGGCCAGCGCTGAAAAAGTAAGCGAGCAGGTAATAGCTCTTCGTTTTTTTTTATTCTTTGTTTTCGACATTTGTGTTCGACATAGGCAATTTCGGGGTTGAAATTATAAAAGAATGAAGAAGAAAAGAATATGAGTATTAAGAATTTCTTGTTTTGCCCGCATTGTATGTTATACATTTAGTATGTTTTTGATTTTAGTGAAGTGTGTCAAATTAGTGCAGTGAACAATTTTTAATTTTTAAAATCAAAATAAAATCTAAAAATATAAATAAAATATAATTTGTGAATCTAAAAACATAAATAAAATATAATTTGTGAATTTAACATAAACTAACTGTAAGTATATGCAAAATTAAAGTAAATATATATAAAATTTTAAGTGTTATTTTTTGTTTTGTATTATGTAAATGCTACTGCGTCAAGAACGATTAATTGACCAATGTGCTGCGAATGCAGTCATTCTAAAGCAAGGGTAAAATGCAGTCAACTGCTTCAATTGGAACAGTTTCCAATTCAATCTGAGGAGGATTTAATTCAGTTTAACGAAGAAATCACTGCCGTTGAAATTGTTGTAAGTTAAATTATAGATGTTTCTTACTTTTAATTTCAACTTATTAATATTTTCACATGTAACAATTTTAGAAACTCATACATTTCTTTTCATCTATTACGTTTTTTATAGGCTGCATCAATAAGACGCATCAATGGACAAACAACCAATTACGCGAATGATTTCGTGGAATTTTGGAAAAAGTATACTCATAAATTACAAATTTGATGGTACACAAGGCAAGGATAGCGTACTTTTGTATTTACAGATGCTTTAAGGACAGATGATAAGCCGGAACAAGTGATCGGGTCGAGTCTGGAAATCTTTTCAAGTCTCTAGTAACAATTCCACAGAAAAATATTCTTTTATATAAATATGTTATATTTTTTATGGAAATATTAATATTTTAATTTTATAAAACATAAATATAAAATGTAATTCATTCAAAAAATTTTTAGTATTTTATTTAAAAATCAATAGCATAGGTAAAATTGAAAAGGTAAGCTAACATATCAGCGCTGATATATTGCATTACAAATTTGAAAAGGTAAGCTAACTAACATGTCAGCGCTGATATGTTGCATTACAAATTCGAAAAGGTAAGCGAACATGTCAGCGCTGATATGTTGCATTACAAATTCGAAAAGGTGAACGAAAATGTCAGCGCTGAAATGTTGCATTACAATTTTGAAAAGGTAATCGAACGATTCAACTCTTGCCCGCAATGACATGCACGTGTTAAAGTAATTAGGAGTTTCCCTTGAATAATCAGCACAAGGCATTACCATTCAGCGCTAAAGCAATCAAATACCTCAGCGCTGAAAGTCCCGCTGGGTAAATGAGCACAACACAAAATAACAAACACACTCTCAGAAATTGCACTAATACCATCTGAAGACGTACGATTATTTCCAACTTGAACTTGAGCGAATACGAACCTTAAATTACTCTTAAAAAAAATTTTATGGACAGTGTATGCAACAGGGAGCATAATTTTAGTTCTCTGTTTTGTTTTGAAATACCATCAGTATTGTTTTTTTATATGTTTTACAACTACTGTATTTAAGTATTTTAATTTATTTACATTTTTAATATTAAGTTTATTATAAACATGTTTATTCTATATTTACTTGTTTATCTAACTATAACTACTATAATTTGGTAAAAGTTGTGCATTGCATGCACACAAAATCAATCATATATTTTAGAAAAAGTGTATACAAAAAGCAAAGACTTGAATTTGTGTGTTTGTGTGGCCATTCAACACTAAACAACGCTTCTTCGTGTTCAACTACTATTGAACGTCCTTTCCTTTCTATTTCCTCTTAACCCAAAAGAAACCAAATTTTGTAAATATAGAAACAAAAATTTGCACTTCACTGATTGCCCTTTCGTCTTGATGCAGCAAAACTATGGAAGTATAAGTTCGCAAAACAGAAAATTGTCAACATATAAATCACACAAGCACCCAAACTAGCAATATGAATAGAAAATATAGCAACAATTTCTATACTATATCATACACCTTCTCATACGCACATTCAACAGCTCTTTCGTGTGTTTCGAACACTTAAGATCATTGTGTTATACACAGCTTTCGTTTGTCTTAATTGTTCTACAATTCAAAGCTGATTGTGCTTTTAGCTGGCTACTCGAGCTGGCTACCATGAAATCAAAGGGAGTAATTTTTTTGTTCTGCATTCGCAATCTGTGTATTATTTGTCTGTGGTTATACGAAACTTAGATGTGTCTCTAAAAAATAATACTAATGTATTTAATTTCATGTTGTTTGAATTTATTTGAGGTAAAAGAATATTGAAATGTTTTCAAAAACATAAATTTTTTAAAAACATCAAAAAAGCATGAAGTAATTAATTTACAACACAACTTTTTGTATAAGTATTCAGAAAATTTCCCCAAAACTAATAATACATAAAATAAAAAAAAATTATAATATTTTATTAATTAACCCAAAATGTTTATTTTAATAATACTCACCACAAAAATCAACGATGTGCGCGCACACCCTTGCGCATCAACGATCTATTCGGTACTGACTACAAAATTCGTTTTACGAATTAATAGGAATGAAAATTTCTTAGGGAATGCTGTATTTTAAAAATGCATTCACCATAATGAAGTGGCCATGCAAGCAATAAAATTAGTATTTATTGCGATTGTTTAAATATTTATTTAATTTTGAAATAATTTTCTACAATTTCTAACGAAAAACAATATATATTAAATAAATTTTGGAATAATATATTTTTTGAAGTGAACAATGCTATATACTCAGTTATTTATTTCTGAAAATAAGTAAAATAAATTATAATATGACTTTTGATATGTCTAACACTGAATTACTATTATAAAAATTAATGATTTCTATTTTTCAGTACACAATTTATTTGCATAGATATGTATGTGAATTTTATGCTGCATACAATAGTATATAAATTATATATATTAATGTCATATAACTTTAAATTTCATTGTATTATATACCCAATTTATAAATATTTTTACACCAAAAAGCTATTTAAATGGAAAACATTACTAACATGATATTATACTGAATTTAATTTCAAAACATATTTTTTGTATTTAAAGCTAAAATAGATTTTAATTGCTTTCAACATATTATATGAAACGCTTCTGAACTATTTTCTGCATATATAAGTAGCTAAGAAGTGTGTATAAATAATTGTATGACATACTCAATTACAATCAAAAAAACTTTTTGCATGATTGTATGTTATTGTAAATAAATCCATTTAATTTAATAATATTTAAATTATATGTAAAGTATGCTTATATTCATTTATGAGTATTTATATATCTGCTTCAATAAAAACTTATACAGTAAGTAGTTGAAAAAAGTTATGCAGCAACCCTGAAAGAGCATGAAAGAGCGTAAAAGTGGCATAAGTGTGGTGTAATCACACTTATTTAATACGTGTGACAAAAATGTTATAAAAAATGAATTTTCTTAAGCAATTTCTCTTAATTGTGATCGAAGTGCCGGATTTTCAATTCTACAAAAGATATTCTCTGGTATTCAGCATGAAAAGGTAAATATAAAAATGTGCGTGAAGATAGCGTCGACGATAAGTCCAAAATGGAATTGGAACATTTTTCGCCGCATGAAAAATGCAGTATAGTTTAATTAAGGAAAAATTTATTATTTTATTAAATTTAATGCAGCAAAAGGCATTATTAAGTAGAAAATTGAATTAATTTACTATCTACATTCAACTTTTATGTGTAAATGATGTAATTTGTATGAAAAATGAAAAATAAAAATCAGCCCCAAAAGATGGGGTCACTAATTTATTAATAACTTAAACTAGAGGTACCATTTTTATGGCTCATTCGAAAGAGGATAAAATTACCTTTCATATAATGCAAAATTTTGTATAGGTTGTTCGATTAACTTAGGAGCAGTACTGCGATGAAGATAGAGATATCATTTTTAAACATTATTTAATTAAAACTTTGTTACTTGACCAAAAATTATGAACTAAAAAGCTTATAACAATAAAAAATATGTTTATTTTTCTAAATATAATCGCTTTTTACATAATATAGAAAAAATTTTCTTCAAAATAAGGAAAATAAAATTTTGTAAAAATAGGTCGCCTTACAAAATTAATTATATCTTTAAAAGCAGAGGTACCATTTTTCTGCAAATTAGATTAATCGAAAGAGGACACTTCAAACTTTCATTTAATGTCTTCATATTTATAGATTGGTCGATTAACTTAAAAGTTATTGAGTGTCAAAATTCAGAAATTAATTTTCCTTTAAAAACGACATTTTTCTTATAAAAAGCATATCCCAGAAGTCAGAAAACAGTTTATATATAAATAACTTTCAATACAATACTCTAATAAGCACAATTATTTGAAAAAAATCGAAATTAATTTAATTTTATTAATTATTCAAAAAATCTGTACAAAGTTGGTTAATAGATGGCATACCATCTTAAATTAAATTCGCTGAAAAATTAAAATGGCACTGAAAAACATAATGTACAGTTGCAGAGTTATTGGTAAGTCCATAGTACTGCAAAAGAAAAGCTAACGTCGAATTTTTATTAAACTTGCTGCATCAGATATTATCAAAATAAGAAACTAGAATTTTTTCTAAAACGATTGATATACAATATTATATATCTTATTCGATTAACAAATTATATATAATTAAATTAAATGTGAACTAACTTGGGCATGCACAACAGTTGAAATTGCGTTGATGATATATGTGGGATATTAAATATCAAAATATAGTTAGCGTCGAATTTTTATTAAGATTATTGCATCTAAGATATTATTTGAACAAAAAACTAGAATTTTTCTAAGCCAATTAATGTCTAATATTATATATATTGTTCGATTAACAAATTAAATAAAATTAATTAAATTATACGCTAACTTGTGAATGCAAAACAGTTTAATTTGCATTGATGATAAATTTGGGAAATTTAATATCAAAATATAGTTAGCGTCGATTTTTTATTACGATGTCATTTCAAATTTTAATTAATTAAAACATTATTATTTAATTAAAAACTATGAAATAAAAGACAGATAACAGTAAAAAATATGTTTGGTTTTCTAAATATACTTAGTTTTTATATAGTATAGAGCAAATTTTCTTTAAAAATGGAAAGCAAAAATTTGTAAAAACGAGGTTGCATTACAAAATTAATTATATCTTTAAAAGCAGAGGTACCATTTTTCTGCAAATTAGCTTAATCGAAAGAGGACACTTCTAGCTTTCATTTGATGTATTCATATTTATAGATTGGTCGATTAACTTAAAAGTTATTGAGTGTCAAATTTCAGAAACTAATTTTCTTTGATACAAAATTAATTATATCTTTAAAAGCAGAGATACCATTTTTCTGCAAATTAGCTTAATCGAAAGAAGACACTTCTAGCTTTCATTTGATGTATTCATATTTATAGATTGGTCGATTAACTTAAAAGTTATTGAGTGTCAAATTTCAAAAACTAATTTTCTTTGGTACAAAATTAATTATATCTTTAAAAGCAGAGATACCATTTTTCTGCAAATTAGCTTAATCGAAAGAGGACACTTCTAGCTTTCATTTGATGTATTCATATTTATAGATTGGTCGATTAACTTAAAAGTTATTGAGTGTCAAATTTCAGAAACTAATTTTCTTTGATACAAAATTAATTATATCTTTAAAAGCAGAGATACCATTTTTCTGCAAATTAGCTTAATCGAAAGAGGACACTTCTAGCTTTCATTTGATGTATTCATATTTATAGATTGGTCGATTAACTTAAAAGTTATTGAGTGTCAAATTTCAGAAACTAATTTTCTTTGATACAAAATTAATTATATCTTTAAAAGCAGAGATACCATTTTTCTGCAAATTAGCTTAATCGAAAGAGGACACTTCTAGCTTTCATTTGATGTATTCATATTTATAGATTGGTCGATTAACTTAAAAGTTATTGAGTGTCAAATTTCAGAAACTAATTTTCTTTGATACAAAATTAATTATATCTTTAAAAGCAGAGATACCATTTTTCTGCAAATTAGCTTAATCGAAAGAAGACACTTCTAGCTTTCATTTGATGTATTCATATTTATAGATTGGTCGATTAACTTAAAAGTTATTGAGTGCCGAAGTTCAGAAACTAATTTTCTTTGAAAAGAAAAACCTTTTATCTTTAAAAATCATATACCAGAGGACAGAAAAATTTTAGTACAGAATAAACTAAAAAAAAATAGAATATTCACATATTAATTATAATTAATTCAAATGTGCGCTTACTTATTTATGCACAACCGTTAGTAAATTTCGTTGATAAATTTGGGATATTTATATGTCACGAATTTTCATTAAATTTACTGCATCTAAGATATTATTAAAATAAAATTATAGAATTTTATTTTAGACGATTTATTATAACCTTGTTTGATTAACTAATTAAATAAAATTAATTTAAAAATATAATAACTTGGGTCTGTACTACCGATAGGTTTTTTTGACATATTTTAAACCACTAGACTAAATTATATACAGAAATCTTAAAATTCTGTAGTCCTATCAATGATATCCCCAATATTTATTACAAATAAATAAGCAAGTGTATGCATATCGATGTGATTGTTAAGAAGTTTGTTAATTAAATAATTAGTAAAGGATCTTATACAAATAATTGTTAGCTGAAGAACATAATGACTCAATAGACCTATGTAAGTCTATTGAGTCATTTAATTTTATAAGTAATTTTGTTTTTGCATGAAAATTAGGTTTTAAAATTTTTAAAAATTTAAAAACAAAATTTATTTTTCATCAAATATATTTATTTATTATTTATTACATTAATTAAAAACTATTAAATTTATTTTTTTAAAGAAAAGGATATAATTTATATTTATATATAATTTATATTTATATACAATATTATTTAATATTTTATATTTAAAATAATTTTCAAATTATTATTTTTTCCAGGTCATTTGCCAATTGATCACCTCCACTATTGCGCTGAGGTTGTTGCGGCTGCGGGAGTTGTTGTCTCCGTTGCGGCTGCGAGAGTTGTTGTATCCGTTGCGGCTGCAGCAGATGCTGTCTCGGCTGCGACAGGTCGTATGGTTGCTGCTCCGGCTGGTATGGATGCTGCTCCGGCTGGTATGGATGTTGCTCCGGCTGGTATGCTTGCTGCTGCGGCCACGGCTGGAATTGATGCAGCTGGTATAGTTGTGGCTGCGGCTGCGGCTGCAGTTGGTATGGTTGTGGCTGCGGCCACAGCTGGTATTGTTGTGGCTGCAGCCACAGCTGATATTGTTGCACCGGTACCGGCGGTGCCGACTGGGTTTGACTGGTTGGCTTTGGCCCAGTCACTTTTTTGTTTTGGTGATTATCTGAAATGAAAAGATATGTTATAATTAATAAATTTATTTCTATTTATTCTCATTTTTTTTTTTAAATATTTCTTTTTAAATTATACTCACATTTTTTGGTAATTTTTTTTTTGTTAAATTTTTTCTTCTGCTGGCCCTAAAAAAACAGAAATAATTTTTTTCAAATAAATTTCAAACAAATAAAATATATATGTATATAATAAGAATAAATAATGTTAATGCGTATAATAATTTTTTAAAATTGTTACATTCAGGCATGCTCTGAATTTCGACTTCATTTCAAATCGAAATTCAATTTGAAACGGAATGAACCCGTTTTGGGTGTTCCAGAAATCGAATATTTTCATGCGGTTTCAAAATGAACTCAAAATGAATTTAAACATCTGTTTGTTGACGTTTTGTAAAATATTCAATGCTCTTAATTGAAATTTTTAAATTTTAATAAGTAAAATAAAAAAAAAACAGTTTTTATAAAATGTTCGGAATGTTAGCATTGGTGGCAGCTGAAAATAATAGTCACACAAATGAAAAAATAAAAAGACGGATTTTAAGAGATTGCAGCAATCCGTTAGATTTGAATGAGTCGACGTAAGTGGCTAATTCATACTGGATGAAACAACGAAAAACAACGAATACTTTTAGCTTTATAAATTATTACAGGGTGAACAAAGATGCTTTTTGCATGCTGGTAAAAGTCGTAACACCGCACGTTAAGTTATCATCCATACCAAGTTCTATTCAGTTGGCCTGCACATTGCGTTTTTTAGCGGAAGGGGGCTTTCAAAAATCGGTAGGCATCGACAAGCAAATAGCTTTGGGTAGGAGCACTGTTGGAAAAATTTTGACAAATGTTATCGCAATTTTGGAAAGGCGCATCTGCCCATCATGGATAAAATTAGAAATGTCGGACGCTGAGCGGAGTGCGTCTAAGCGCCACTTTATGCAAAAATTCGGGATTCCGGGTGTGGTAGGTTGTGTGGACGGAACACATATAAGAATGACAAAGCCTCATCGTGACCACCACCTTTTTTATAATAGGAAAGGCTATTTCAGCATTAACGCCATGATAGTAAGGACTTTCAAGTTCTTTTTGAAATTTCTTTTCAATATGTACAGATTTGCGACTACAAAATGACGATTAGAGCAGTGAATGCTAGGCGCGCTGGTTCTAGCCACGATTCACTAATATGGTGCGTAAGCAAGGCACACGACTACTTCTGCCAGTGCTATGAGAGCGGTGAACGTGGAAGTTGGCTTTTAGGAGATGCTGGCTACTCCCTTCAGCCATTTTTGCTAACGCCATACAGAGATCCGCAGCCTGGAACGCAGGAGCATAAATTTAACGTGAAACACGCATCTGCACGCAATGTTATTGAACGAGCAATTGGCGTGTTGAAAAGCCGCTTCAGGTGTCTAGCCCGACTTCTTCAATACCAGCCCGAAAAAGTTTCCAAAATTATTAATGTATGCTGTGCGCTACATAATATTTGTAGATACTACAAGGTACAGAATGTCGAAGATGTTCACTTTGCTAATGAAGATGAAGAGAAACTAAGTGAAATATCGGCTAGTAGAGAAGCAAATACAATAAGAGATGACATTGCTAATAGCTTGCGTTAGTAGTATTTAAGGAAAATTTTTATTAAAACAAAAAAATGAATAAATTCTTAAAATATTTTATTTTATTTATTGGAGCTTAAAATTAAAAAAAAAAATTATCAAAATTATATTTACATAACTTGAAACTGATTTAATTCAAAAAAAATGTAATTATACTTACATGTTATTTTCACTACTTTTAAATTCACAACTATTTCGATATGTGGTTTTAATCACATGTTTTTATGCGAATTCGATTTCTAGAGCAAGCAAATTCATTCGATTTCATTTGTGAAATCGCAAATGAAATGAAAAAAGCAGAGCACCAAAATGTGAATTTAAATTGAAATCGAATTTTTTTATGCGGATTCGAATTCTAGAGCATGCCAGATTAACAGAACAAAAAAGTGTTAGTGTTGATTTTTATTTTTAAAATTTATTTTATAAATTTTATTGTTTCTGAACTTCGGCACTCAATAACTTTTAAGTTAATCGACCAATCTATAAATATGAATACATCAAATGAAAGCTAGAAGTGTCTTCTTTCGATTAAGCTAATTTGCAGAAAAATGGTATCTCTGCTTTTAAAGATATAATTAATTTTGTATCAAAGAAAATTAGTTTCTGAACTTTGGCACTCAATAACTTTTGAGTTAATCGACCAATCTATGAATATGAATACATCAAATGAAAGCTTGATGTGTCCTCTTTCGATTAAGCTAATTTGCAGAAAAATGGTATCTCTGCTTTTAAAGATATAAATTATTTTGTAACAAAGAAAATTAGTTTTTGAACTTTGGCACTCAATAACTTTTAAGTTAATCGACCAATCTATTAATATGAATACATCAAATGAAAGCTAGAAGTGTCCTCTTTCGATTAAGCTAATTTGCAGAAAAATGGTATCTCTGCTTTTAAAGATATAAATTATTTTGTACCAAAGAAAATTAGTTTTTGAACTTTGGCACTCAATAACTTTTAAGTTAATCGACCAATCTATTAATATTATTACATCAAATGAAAGCTAGAAGTGTCCTCTTTCGATT